CATTTATCATATATTCGGGTGGAGCGCCGTTGTGCTTTAACTGTTCTGAATACAGATTGATGTGTATAGAGATCACAACGCAGCTCTTCTTCAGGTTCTGTGAATAAATGGTGATTGCTCATCTTTAAATGTTATTTGAATCTGTTGTTGCAGGTGACATTAAAGGAGGCTTGTTGCTTGACTTCAGCATTGGTCCCATCATTCACCATCTCTATTCAGCGACGAAATATTTCACAGATATCATCCTTCTTAAGCCTACGGACCACTGTATTGTAGAAGTGAAAAAATGGATGGACAGCCGAACCGGAGCATTTGATTGGTCGCACACCTCAGCACTTGCTACGGAGTTGGCAGGAACGAGGTGACGTATCTTCCAGATTTTTTTTATCAGAGTTAAGTGGAATGCTTGGGGTGATGAGCCGGTAGGGTTGGGTAGGGGACCAGACATCATATCTAAAACATATTTAAAAAAAATAATAATAACCCTTTAAGATTTGTTAATTAGGTATACAGATATTCCTCGGTTACCGACTTACCTGCTTTGCGACCACTCGTACTTACGACGGACCGCCGAGCGACCTCCGACCTCGCGTGTCAGCATCAGTGCGACGTGTCGCCGGCGGAAGTGACGTCCTCCGATCTTCACTGCCCGATGTACAGTACACTGTTCGGTACTGTACATCTGCAACGCTATACAGTACTGTACTAATGCAGTACAGTACTGTATAGAGTTCCTCACTTAACGACCAATTAGTTTAACGGCCTGGTCGTAGGAACGGAACTCGGTCGTTAAGTGAGGAATGCCTGCATTATAATTATGATTATAATGCTATAATACTTTTCTCAGATGATTTGCATCCTAACATAAAATGTGATAGTAACATTAGAAGAATTATTTTTTGTCATGAAGCATGTGGTCCCCAATGGAGGGGGAGGAGAAAAAAATAAAACTCCATACCGCTAGTGTCCTGACCAGCATTCCAACAATGGACCACAGCAATGCAGAGCAGAACCACTAAGCCACCGTGCTGCCCAATACCAGTTGAATGTTGTACGTGACATTGTATGTGCTTCTGCATTCCAGTGACCAATATGAGGAGCCTGAGGACAAAGATATTGGACTCAGGGCAGCAATTACACATGTTGTAAAATTCGATCTGAGTCGGGAAAATCTGACAGAACTTACGACGGACCGCCGAGCGACCTCCGACCTCGCGTGTCAGCATCAGTGCGACGTGTCGCCGGCGGAAGTGACGTCCTCCGATCTTCACTGCCCGATGTACAGTACACTGTTCGGTACTGTACATCTGCAACGCTATACAGTACTGTACTAATGCAGTACAGTACTGTATAGAGTTCCTCACTTAACGACCAATTAGTTTAACGGCCTGGTCGTAGGAACGGAACTCGGTCGTTAAGTGAGGAATGCCTGCATTATAATTATGATTATAATGCTATAATACTTTTCTCAGATGATTTGCATCCTAACATAAAATGTGATAGTAACATTAGAAGAATTATTTTTTGTCATGAAGCATGTGGTCCCCAATGGAGGGGGAGGAGAAAAAAATAAAACTCCATACCGCTAGTGTCCTGACCAGCATTCCAACAATGGACCACAGCAATGCAGAGCAGAACCACTAAGCCACCGTGCTGCCCAATACCAGTTGAATGTTGTACGTGACATTGTATGTGCTTCTGCATTCCAGTGACCAATATGAGGAGCCCGAGGACAAGGATATTGGACTCAGGGCAGCAATTACACATGTTGTAAAATTCGATCTGAGCCGGGAAAATCTGACAGACCCGCTGGTGCTACCGCAAGCTGACTGCCTGGTGATCAACACTGTCCTGGGAGTCATCAGCAGAGACCTTGAAGATTTGGAGAGAAACCTCGGGAGGTTCTCAAAGCTTCTGAAACCTGGGGGGCACTTGCTGTACTACGGATATTTAAATGCCACATTCTATGTGATCGGGGAAGACAGGTTCCATGCTATAAAGTACAATGAAAGTGACTTGAGAAGAATTCTCAGTAATGAGGGGTTCGTCATCAGACATATTGAGGTTTCCCAAACAAAGATTAAGAGTGATCTGAGTGATTTTGATTCGGTTGTGTTCTGCACAGCTTGTAAAGAACAGAAGATTTAGGCAGAAAACAGAACTCAGAAACATATCTCAGCATGCCACCTATGTACTGGTGGAGGTGTTGAGGTGGCCCTCTGGACATAGAAGCCGCAAACCGCAAAGCGCAAACCAGCTTCTCATGCTGACATAAACAAGTTTAGGCCATTTTTAGCTAGTAGTTCTTGCAGACTGATGCTTGAGCTAATAAAAGAACAAAAATCTGAACATTCTGATTCCAGAACTTTTATTAATGGCGCATCTACAGCTTGATTGTATCCACTATTCATCTCTTTATCCTTTATCCATCCACACATCCCTTTATCCTTTATCCATCCACACATCCCTTTATCCATCCACACATCCCTTTATCCTTTATCCCTTCCCTTTACCCTTTCTTCATCCACACATCCCTTTATCCATCCACACATCCCTTTATCCATCCACACATCCCTTTATCGTTTCTTCATCCACACATCGCTTTATCCTTTATCCATCCACACATCTCTCTATCCTTTATCCATCCA